TAACTTTTTTTTTTAAAATATAAGCCTTTGTGAAAACATTCTAACTTAAATTTGCAAGGAATTATTCTAATATTACTTTTTTGTTTAAAGGTAATATTAGAATAATTCCTTGTAAATTAAATTAAACTTTAATTCGCAGAAAAAAGAAAACTTAGTTAATATTTTTTCGCATTTTAAACGAACTAATTTTACATTAGATCGATTTAAATATTATTTAATGGTATGTAATAATAATTCCTTTAATCTCTAAGGGTATCGTTAACGAGAAACGTTATTGACATCATTATGAGTTATTTAATTTTAATACAGAGTGTTTCAAAATTCCTGTTACAAACTTATAGGGTAGAGTTCTTAAGGAAAACTAAGATAAAAATATTTAGTAACAATTATTGAATAAAGCCTTTATTAAGAAATTATAAAAATTTAAAATTCTGTATCATTACTTCCGGAACTTGATGCATCTTAAAGATTAAAATTTATATATATATTTCATCATAATCTATTATTTTCATTAAAACAAATGCTTTTTCAGTAAATACAAATCTCATTTCAGTCATATCGAGCAGCTGTTGTAATGGGTCAAAATGGAAAGCGAAACAAACGTTTAAGACGTATTGATATACATTTTTATAAAAATAATATTGATTTCAAATATATAAAAATAAAGTACAAAATGTTCTACTTATAAAACCATTCAATTTATATAAAAGAATAAACCATGAATTTTCCTCATTTGTACGAAACTCCAGAAGCGAGGTCAATGAAGTTTAATTGTCTAACTCCTTAATAAAGGCTTTATTCGAAAAAGTTACTTAACATTTTTTATCTTACTTTTTCTTAAGGAATCTGACCTATAAATATTTACAGGAATTTCGAGAAATCTTTTTGTCAGAATTCCTGTGGAAATTTGTAAAAAAAAAAAAATATACAGTAGTCTAATAATAAAAAAGTATAGTAAGAGAAATTAAGAATAATTTATATTTATTTAAAAAAGTTATTTACCTGAAAATGTTTTTGTTATTTAAATCGTGCTTATGTTTTAATTTTTTTTTATAAACTTAAAATTTTAATTTTAATAAAACAACAATTATTAAATGCCTAGTTTATTTTTAATACGAAGTGAAGTGTTCTTGACAAAAAATATAGTATTGATTTTTTCTTCTTTATTCTATTCATATGCTAGTCATTAAATGTTTAAAACTTTCTGTAAGGAACACTATTATCTCGTTGAGATTTTAATTAACATTTTAAGTTTTCATTTAAATAAATAAAAAGTCAATGCTGCTTCTTGAATAAACATTGAATTAAATTAATGAGTTTTAAAATATTCGCTTAAATCGTATTAACTTTCAAAATATATTGATGTTGACATTTACTAAAATATTCATTCAATATTATTTCTATGTTAATTATATCTGAATTTATTTTTAAATCCTATTGTCATATAATTTTAAATGTATATTATTATAATTAGCAAGACATTAAAAAATAAGTAAAAATAACATTTAATGTTTATTTTTTAAAGTATTGCAATATTAAAAAATATATTAGTAATTGTTTATTTGACAACATTTATATTCCAAATTTTTAGTAATATCAATTTAAAATAATTTAGAGAAACAAATTAGAATAAAAAAATTATCAATTAACTGTTATAAATCTCACAACATGCGAAGGAAAAGTTGAGGGAGGTGCCCGTTGTTTCCTCCTTTTTCGATAGTGTTATATGACCGATGGTATGCTATCCGTGTCACATNTGCAGAGTCAAGTACAAATAACAAGAGTTTGTTATCTAAAAAGAAAGTTTTGAACAAAATTATAAAATTCGATTTAGAAAATTGGCCTACTTCTATTTATAAAACGAGGGATACCTAACGGGGGTTATCCGAACTGCATGACTCAAAATACAAGGAAAAGAGTTGTCTTTTTTTTTCTTCGCTTTCTCTCCCTGTTCTGTTCTTCCTTTTCGACTTCTTTCTCTGACGTAGTAAACACTAGTATTGTGTTATATTCCAAAGACACATGGCAAGTTTTCCATCAAATATCTTTATTAGTTGAGTCGACTCAACTAATAAAGATATTTGATGAAAAACTTGCCATGTGTCTTTGGAATATAACACAATACTAGTGTTTACTACGTCAGAGAAAGAAGTCGAAAAGGAAGAACAGAACAGGGAGAGAAAGCGAAGAAAAAAAAAGACAACTCTTTTCCTTGTATTTTGAGTCATGCAGTTCGGATAACCCCCGTTAGGTATCCCTCGTTTTATAGATAGAAGTAGGCCAATTTTCTAAATCGAATTTTATAATTTTGTTCAAAACTTTCTTTTTAGATAACAAACTCTTGTTATTTGTACTTGACTCTGCATTCATCCTCCTGAGAAACTCATTCCTGGACTTCGGAATGAATCTTACCCACGCGCCTTAACTATTTTTTTTTTTGTCTAAATCGAAGGCATGTCCGACAAAACACACCTGGTGGCAGAACCTTACCCTAAACTTTGTGTAATCTAATTTTTGACGGCTCCCGACCCCTACAATTCTACGCAAGAAAACTTTTGAGTAATATCGTATGGATAGTTTATTATGGGTCACCGGAAAACCGATGCCCAAAATCTTGATTTTTAGCTGGACTTTGATAACTCGAAACTTTTTAACTTGAAGTCCGAATTTTTTCTCCAACCGATTCGAGTTAATCTGGTTCCACCGCAGTAACAATTATTAGAGATGAAAACAAATAAACAATGCCTGGAAAGTCCAGCAATAACGGTGCTAGCTTTTCTTTCATATAAATTATATCTTACAAAAGAAACTTTACTGCTAATGTGATTTGCTATTAAAGTTTGCTATTAGATTAAATATTATTTGTATTTCAATTCCATTGTCAAAAAGTAATAAACCTAAAAGATTTTAGGGGTCTCTCCTAAAGCTTTCGAAGTATTCCCCCTTTTTTCCTCAAAAAAATCCAATTATGGATAGAGATATATTTTCTATAAATTAGATTCATGCCTACTAATCTTTTTCCTTGTATCTTTTTGTCTTCCTATTTGTTTTCAAAGTTAAAAAAAAAAAATTAAAATTTTTAAAATTTTACAATTAACTTTTAAGTCTAGAAATAGCCGCCATGACTTACAACGTGAAAGAATAACAGTCAGTCACTGATAAATGCATCACTTTAAAATTATCTTTGAGCCTAAGCTTTTGAAGTCCAAATAGACCACATCGTAAATAGTCTTTCTATTTCACAAACAGCCAGAAAATATTCTGACAAATAAAAATAAAATTATACCTGTTGGTATTTAAAATATGATCAAAACTAACACTGATATAATACAGCTTTAAGATATAATAACTGTCTAATTCGAGAAAAATCCCTAAAGTAAGGTACAGTCTTTCACAACAACTTAATAACAAATTACAATAAATATTTATAATAGTTATATAAAATAAGTTATTTTTCTATATAGTTACTATTCTGTTCTAATCACTTTATTTAATGGGAGACAAAATCAGAAGATGCCAAGTCCTACATAAGATGCTTCACGCTGCAGCTTACTTGCTGCACGTCAGACTCCAGATTGGTTAGAAAAATGTCGGTGGAAAGTAATTGATCGTCCTGCGTATAATCCGAACTTAGCATTCTCTCATTTTTATCTTTTTGGACCTCATAAGGAACACTGAACATCATTATCTGAGAAAGCTTACGCTTCTCAGATAATGATGAAGATACAGATTCATGGATGCATATTATTAAGAAAAGAATTATTTCAGAATTTTCTCCTTGAATCCCATTGGGAAAAGTGTTAGAAAAGAATGGTGACCACAGTTTGTAGAAAAATAGCTTAGAATGGATATTTTCAAATAGATAATCTAATTTTTCAATGTAAATTGTTATTAAGTTGTTATAAAATATTCTGCCTTACTTTTGAATATGCCTCGTAAAATTTAAGTTAAAATCGAGCGCACGACTAAAATATTCCTCCTAAACAAAGCGAAATGGCAAGACATATCATTGTAGAAGCATCCAATGAAAGACTTTTTATTAAAAATACAAAGAAGGAAAAATAAGCGCAAAAAGTGCCAAAGGACGAAAACAATTTTCCACTCATTGTACGAATGCATAGACACAGTTCATCAATGGGATGAAATTGAAAAAAGTTCAAAACATTCATCAAAAGGAAACACATAAAACTGAAAACTGCAAAAAATAAATTTTACCAAGAAGGAAAATACAAGTTATGGAAGGTACTATTAGAAAAAGAGATAAAAATAAACTTCAAGAAGTATTCTACGAAACGACAAAAATTGATAATACAACATTGAAACATGAGCACAATGAAGAAATAAAACCGATACAGAACTATTCTTTGAACAACGGAATGATAAAAAACGAACAAATGAAAATAAACGAACAAGAAATTTTTAAAATTGTTTATAGATTATAACAATCTTTAGCTTTAAAAATGTATTTTGTTTGATTTTAAATATTTTATAAATAAAAAGATTTTATTCAGAAAACAGTCTTTTTATTCGATGAATATTGCATGAAGCTGTCATTTAGCGTTACGTGAGCACTTTCATGACCAAGACTTTTTAAATCTCCAATGGATTACTTGCCTGTCATTTTAAGTCACTTTATATTAATATGTAAAATAATGTTTACGTTTTATTTAATAAATTATTTTATTTAACATTAATAAAACTAGTAAAAACAATTAAATAGCCAGGATGATAATACCTTTAAAATTTTCAAGAAAATTTCATATATATATATATTATTAATTGTAAATTGTAAATATATATTATTAATTGTATTTTCTTCTGTTAAAATTAAGCCCTGTATTTTCTTCTGTTAAAATTCCTGTGAAAATTTTAAATTACCTGATTTAACCTATTTACCGAGTCTTCAGAAATTGCGAGAGAGAAATAAGGCTTTCCTTTGCCTACACAACAGTACTACACATTTTGATAGAATTTTTAAATATTTTATTAATGTTTCTGCCTCCCACTAATTTTTCTTTTTGAGTATTGCTGTATGTCATTAGAAACACTCTTCTGCCATACAATTTTTTTAAACCGTTTGTCAGATTTTTCATATAAGCTCTTTTTCTGTTACTTTTCTGCTCGAAAAATCCTTTATCTTAAAACAAATAAATTCAAATTTATGTCCAGTAATTTCATAAAGCAAAATAATATTTTATCATAAAAGAAATTAAAACTATAAAATTATTTTATTAAATAATGTCTTAAATTTTTCTTTTATATCATATTTATTTTCATTGTTGAAAGGAGACGATTCGTTTCTTTCTGCTTTTACTATTTTTCTTTCTTTTTTAAGTCTTTTATTCATCGCTAGTCTGATATAAGGAATTTATTAAAGCAAACTCAAAGTTTGTCATTTAAAATTTATAAAAATTCTTAGTAAGATAAACATTAGAAAATTCGTGATAAAAGTAATTATTCTTTAATTATTGGATATATATTTCATAAATGTACATGTTAATTACACGTATTAAAGAGACCATACTCTCAAGATAACAGCATGGCTTTTTGTCATTGTGAATATATTTATATCTTAGTTTTCTAGAAGTATATTTTTTATGTTGCGTACAGTGGTCATTTCGAGATAATACATTGCTAATTTCGTAAAGGAGATACTTTAGCTTTATATATTGGGTTGCAATTTTAAAAAATTGTAGAATTATAAATTCCCACTATTGTCAGTCTGTCCGTCTTTCCTTTATCTCGAGAACAGTGTTAGATAGATTAATGAAGTTGCATATATTATTAGCTAAGAATTTGTCCAAATAGCTAAGAAAATTTAAACGCACTGTTGTGCGTATAATTACGAAATGGACCATAAATTAACGCAACAAACATCTCCAGCAAATACAAATAGCTGGTGAATTTATTTGTGGATTCACAAAAAGTAGAACAAAATGACACACACATCCAGGGTTCCTCCCCGAATCAACACAGAACTAACATCAGGCACATAGAAAAAAAGCACGTTCGCCAGACAAACGCTACAACTTTTGTAAAAGAGCGCGAAGCGAAAGAGTATCCCCTTTCAATAGTTTTTACTTAAAAAAAAAAAAAAAAACAAAATATCGTCTGCTGGTCCGAACACGCACAATACAATAAAAAATAATAACCGTGTGTTTAAATACATCCAGTTTTTAGTTTATTGAAATATCAAAGAATAATTCACTTACCATCAACATTTTGTTTGCTTGTAAATACAAGATGAAACTAGTCTATTTCAACTCTTCTATAAATTTTCCATTTTTTTTTCTTTTTTACAATATGGATATTTTGCTATTAGTTAAAAATGACAGTTTAATCAAATTGAACAAAATTTTCAAATTTAATATATTTCACGCTATCTGCGAGAAAAATTTCAAATCTCATGTTATATTACTTATTTGATGAAGATGGATTTAAAAAGTATCACGAAATTGCCAATGTTTACCCTACATGTTTTTTGCCAAAATAGCTTTTTCAGTTAAGTAAATATAGTACGGTAAAGAATAAAACTTTTAGAAAAACGTTTTTCAAGTCTTCCTGTTTATTTCCTAACAATTATTCATTATTCTGTAATTATAACAATAATACTTTTAAACCTTGTTTCATTTATTTTCTTTATTTTCTCCTTTAATTAATAATATTTAGGATTAGAGAAAGAAAGATAGAAATTGGTCTATTCTGACAATTTTAATACATGTTATTTATCAAAATATGATTTAAAAGATTACAGACAATTATGAATTTATATCTTCCAAACTATCAAACAATTTAATTTAAATATTTTTAAATTCAATCACTCTGTCAACTAAAATAATTTTATATTTATGTGGTTATATAGAGGGGATCCTCAGTCATTAAGCTCGTGACTCTGTCCATTTGAGACCGAGTCACGAACTTAATGTCCATCTCCGTCCCGAAGTTTAATTTTGTATGTAATAACATGATATAAAAATATTAAAAATTAAATGTTTTTTGATGAGTGAAAAACATATCAATTTATAAATTAATAATAAATATCAATTGCAATCTCGATAGTAAGTCGATACATGATGTATTCATAGTAATTTTTCACCACTTATCAAAAGGAACAATAATTTATATTTCTTTCATATGTTTTTGCATATGGAAGTATCCACAGTCCAGAAGAATGTAAATCCGAAGAAAAACAAGGACTTTTATAAAATAAACAAATATTTACAAAAGTAACATACTGACTTTACAATTTACTTTTCTCCAGTCTAAATGCAAATAGTGACAAAAATCAACAAAATATGCATAATGTATATTTTTCCTCCCCAAACTTCAAAGATTAATGAAATCGAAACGTAAACAAAACTTTAAAATAAATCAATAAAATCTCAAAAAATAACAAATACAATATAAAAAAATTTTCTTTAACCCAAAAAATAAAAAAAAACTAGTCAATAGCGTAAATGGAGAACCATTGGTCCAAGGTTATTTTTTTAGATTTTTATTTTCCCAGCTGTTATATAAAACAGAGGGAAAGTATGGCGATTGGTCAAAAAATGACCTCCAAGAATTTCCAAGACCTCCAAGGCGCCCTAAGTTAAAAAAGACATTTTTTAACTTAGGGCGCCTTGAAACGTCGAGAAATGAAAAAAAAAAAAAAAAATTCGGGAGGACACGACTTTGCTCACCTTGTTCGAAGCCTAATAACTCCTATGTTTTTTGTCAAAAATTTCGGAAATTTTGCATGGAGGTTTATGTATTAGGGGGATTGATGCGATTAAATTTTGGTGGTGAGAGGTCAAGGGTGTGGGGAGATAATGGGAATCGTGTGTATCTCCAGTAAGTTCGGACTTAATGACGATTTTATTCCTTATTAGCATTTAAATTTCTTTTATAAAACTCATCGCTACTCTCGAAATTAAGATTTTTGCCATTTTATAATAGTTAAAAATGTAAAAAGATTTAAAATAAAATATGATAATAGATGACGCCACTAAAGTTGTAATGGCTGCCGGGAAAGTTAAGCAACTCCTTGCTGGTTTATTTCATAAAGAAATGAACAATAATAATAACAAATTTAGTGGATGCAGAAATTTGTGCAAGATAAAATTCTGTTGTCAAAACTCCAATCCATATCATCTAAATTAGAACAGTCCCAAATGACCTCTTGGTACTGTCTTGCGCAAGAGACTATACTGTACTACGAGGCAAACCGTATGTCATCGTTTGTTTTCGCTTGCAAACTAACGCTTATTTTGTGAGTAAAGAATTTGCGCCGGCAATTTTTGATAGTGTCAAATGTAATTGAGCAAAGAATGTACATTATTGTTTAGCTACAGAATTACTGTTACAAAAACATTGGAAATGTTACAAAAAGCCTTTAGTGACAATAGTCTACCAAAATAAGATTTTGAGTAGTACAAGATATTCAAGGAAAGCAGAGAACGACTGGAAGATGAACCACGGTCTGGTAGACCATCCACTTCAACTAATGACCAACATGTCAAAGATTTGGTGCTTGATGACATCGTTTAACAATTGGGGACATTATTGAGCATGGTCCAGTATCATTTGGAACTTGTGAAGCAATTTTAAAAGATCATTTGGGCTTGCTGCGCGTCATTTCTCGAGTAATCCTAAAAACGTTGAATTTTTTTCACAAACAATAACGGGTTCAAGTGACGAAGAAATGCTTTCTCGAGGCGAATTGTTCTTAAAACGCGTGGTGAAACGTAGATCTATGCTTTTGACACCGAAACGACTCAACAACCGAGTAAATGGCACTGGAAAGGTGAAGTAAAACCGAAAAGGTCACGTCAAAGTCAGTCAAAAATCAAGGTCGTCTTGACGGTTTTCTTCGACTGGCCAAACAGACAACAAAGAATATTATTTAGTGTTTTGCTTCGTCTGCATGAAGCAATCCGTAGAAAATGACCCGATTTATTGCGAGAAAACTGGTGGATTTTGCACCCCATGATAATGCACTCACCTACTCACAATGCACTTGTTCGTGAATGTTTGGCCAAAAATTCAACAAATACGGTTATGCAAGCGTCATATTCACATGATATGACACCATGTGACTTTTTTCCTGTTTCCTTCATTGAAATTTCGATTCGTGGTCCGCGTTTTGAGTCGATTGATGTCGTAAAACAAAATTCTCTGCGAGTAGTGAAGAAGTCTCACGAAAACGACTTTAAAGCTTGTTTCAGGGATTGGAAAAAAACGTTGGCATAAGTACATTGCAATGGGAGAAAATTACTTTGAAGGAGACAAACATTGGCGTAGCCAGAGTTTTGTTATGGGGGGCCTAGTAGAGGCCAGCCTGACACAAAATTGAATTATATCAAATTATTGTTCATTAAAATGAAATTTCCATAGGAATCAACAATAACTTAACACACATATAATATGAAACTTCCTTTAATCATACGTACTCGTAACATTAATATCAAACTCTAGTAATGCCTTAACCCGTAGAGACTAATCTGTACATAGAGATTACAGATACATTTTTCACATTGGGCACAGAAAGACATTGATTTTTTTTTCTTTTTTAGGAGTCAGATAGTCTCAACTTTTCTATCACTTCACATTGTGAGGATATAAGGGATTATCGCGGATCCATTCGAGGAATTATTTGAAGTTAAGTCCAATATTCAAAGATTAATCGCGGGCCGCATAAATTCATTAAGCGGGCCGTATGTTGGCTATGCCTGATCTAGACTTTCATTGGGTACACTACACCCAATTAAATTAGCTTCAAAAAATCACTTATGGCAGCTGCTATTTCGTTGTGAATGTGTCTCTTTAATTCGATTTTCAGTTCGGTAGACTATCAAATACAGCTTTCAGGTTAGGAACTTCTTTTATTGGTTTGTCAAATGCATTTCGGACTTATTTGTATTTTAAGTCCCTCTTCAGTACAAACTATTTTAAAAATTTATATACAATTACTTAAAACTGAACTGAAAATCGGATTAAAGAGACACATTCACAAATAAATTAGCTTCAGCTTTTTATTTCTTTTTGCAAATCGGCTCAACACTTTTTTGGCTATAATTTTCTGGGGAAGGGCATCAGGTTAACTGGGGGGCGTGCCCACCCATACCCCTCCTTGGAAGCCCATGGAGACAAAATAAATTTTAATATATAAATTCAAATCTTGCCCTTATAGAACCATTCCCGATACTTTTCGATCACAGGAGTATGAGCTATCAAAAATTATCTGGAATTTTTTAGGTTCTGTCTTAAAACTCTACTTGTAGATTTAAATATATGGGCAATTAGACTGAAAAACTGCTTGTTTTAATTACTGAAACAACTAATGAAAATAATTACGGAAATTGGTTTTAAAGTAATTTAAAATATTTTATAATCATATGTTAGAAAAAGATAAAAAATTAAATTTAAAAAAAAAAAAAATGTGAAATTAAACTAACTTCATGTATAGTGTATACAATGAGAAAATGAATACAGTATATAATTACTACGTATTATAAATAAAAACTTTATGTCATCATCAAAAAAATTATCTAATTATTGTATAGATTTTTTCAAATTTAAGCCAATTAATGATTTTTCTATTAAAAACATTAAAATTATTTCATAAGAATATGTTTAATTCAAGCATTCTGCAAATTCTTCATAATTTTATATGAGTAAATAATTTCTCTTTTTGTTTATGATTCATGATATTATACGCCGGATACGAATTAATCTATCGATTATGAGGGAAATAGAGAATGGTAATACAAGTTATTCGATGTCTTCAAAAATATTTTAATACAAGACGACAGAAAAAGGATTGGTTCATTCAAAATCAATTTTACGATTTTATCACATTTTTAATTTTGAAAATCAGTTATTGCAAATTATTCTTTCAGATGCGATCTTTGCAGATTAGTTGATTATAAAGCCAACTCTTCAAAGCTGATAAAAGACTGTTATTAATATCATCAAGAAGGAATCAGTATGCTTCATGAATTTTCATAGGTTATAATAAATCGATTGCAATAGTTTACAATAAAATTTAATATAGTTCCAGCAAAAGTCTGATTCAATCTAAGAATTTTCATATAATTTCACAAATCATTATGATTTCTACATTATGATGTAAATATTTCTACTAACGAATCCTAAATGAAATTTAATTAAAATTTTCACGGTTTTTAAAATAATTCAAATTTTAATTTCTTTCTTCTTTCATCAACTTTTGAAAAATTCTAGTTAATCCTGTTTGTATGTCAGACACGTTTGTAGTGATAACGCTTGAGAACCTCGCGATTTGACAGATGTATTCAGTTCTGTAAAAACAGATTGCATTTTCATATATTCTAATTAGGTGAAACAATTTTATAATTTTCATAAAAATAGCCAGGACGATTAAATAAATTTAGCAAAGTAGACAATACATAGGTGTCTTCTGATGTCCTTTTTCACGCATTTGAGGAAAAAATTAAAAGTTCGGACGAGTAGCCTCAAATAAAAGGTCGACTCCGCCGTAGAACTGTTAATTTTTTCCTCAAGTGCGTGAAAAAGGACATCAGAAGTCACCTATGT